AAACTGGTGCAAATTCATACTGTCTGGGTAATTCCTCTGGAATGGGGAGAAACGTGAAAGAAACGCACGAACCGCAGGTCAGTGGGTTGCACTGACTGCGCGTGGGATGATGCTTCCAGAGAAAGTGAGTGGTCTCTTCTCAATCGTCCCTGTGACGTGGCGATGCTGATGTCGCTGTATTTTGATAATGACGCCTCATTTATCCGGCGGCGGCAGGGAATGCAGTGCTTCGCAGACAACACGTTCCCTTTTGTCATTAACACACTCAAGTGTGTGTGTTTTTAATCTTTATTGTTGGAAGTATTACATAGGTCCCCTTTCTCCCCCATTGACCTCTTCTAGCCCATCTCCGCCCCTGGCCTTCACCACCTTATTCTCTGTGTCCATGGGTTATGCATATATGCATACGAGTTCTTTGGTTAATTTCTTCCCACCCACCTACCCAACTCCCCCTTCCCTCTGAGACACACAAGTTTTTATTTTTGCAAGTTGCGCGGTGTGCCAGCTAAAATGATCATTTCTCTGCTTTCTTAAGTAGAACTAATTGGCTAAAATGTTATCGTTTTAATGGATTAGAGCCACCATTTACGGCGATTGTCAGTAACTGTGGAGGGATTCACCTGAACCCAGTCTCTGATGGAGTTCCCTGCCTAACTCTAGCCAGTCCTCACTTCCCTGGAAGATGGCTCCGTTGTGAGTAGAAGCCGTGTTGGCGTCCGTGGGAACACTGCACGAGGCTCTTGCTCACGGACGTTAACCTCCTGCAAAGCCTCCCGTGTGCCCCTTGATTCTGCGCTGGGCGTTCGAGCATCTCCTTCCCTTCTGGCATCAGTCCGCCCTGCTCTCCTGAATCCATGTTAGCGTCAGCCTGCGCCTCTTCCCAGGGCTCAGACTCTACCCCAGCTCCTTCCCCATTTGTTCTGCTCTGCAGCACTGGGGCCCGCCCGACAGACAGCTCTGGGTTACATTCTTCAGGCAGTTAACAAACAGCCCCCCTGCCAGCGCCAGCTCTTAGGAACCTTCTCTGCTTTGGCTGGAGTTAGTGCCACGGCTCCTGATAGCAACAGGGTAATTTCATTTGAGCAAAACAAAGATTTGGAGGAGAGAGCCATAAACCCAACAGGATGGTCGTCCACAGCCCTCATTTGGCCTCTGGGTTATCTAGAAGTGTGTTGCTTACTTTCCAACTATTTGGAGATTTCCCAGATTTCTTTCTGTTATTGATTTCTAATTTAATTTCATGGTGGTCAGAGAATAGACGCTGTACGATTTCAGCACTTGTACGATGATGAAGACTTGTTTTGTGGCTCAGGATATGGTCTGCCTCGGTAAATGTTCCAAGTACACTAGAGATGGATTTGTACGCTGATGCTCTGCTGAGCGTTCTATCAATATTAGTTTACAAAGTTGGTTGGCATGTTGTTCCAGTCTTCTATGCCCTTTCTGAGTTTCTCTACTTGTCCTATCAATTATCGAGAAGGGGTGTTGAAGTTTCCAAGTATAAATATGGAATTGGCTATTTCTCCTTTCAGTTCTATCAGCTTTTGCTTTGTGAATTTTGTGAAACTTTTTTTTATTAGTAGCATAACTAGGATTGTTGTGTCCTCTTGATGAATTAACTGCTCGATCCATGCAATGACTCTCTTTATCTCTGGAAATATTCCTTGCTCTGAACTTTGTCTGTTAATACAGCAACTCTGGCTTTCTTTAGATTAGAGTTGACAAGTATATGTTTTCCATGCTTTCACTTCAAACCTACTGTGACTTTACTGTATAATTAAGGCAAATTTCTTTACAGACTCATAGATACAGATAACAAAGTTATGGTCACCAGATGGAGGAGGTCTAGGGGGGAGGGATGAAAAGGGGAAAGGATAAAAAAAAATTGGCTGTTACAAAAAAAATAGTCACAGGGATGTAAAGTATCTCAAGGACAAGCATTTGTATGATTGCGTTGTGCGTTCCACTTGACATTTCTTTCCCCACAACATTATTTTCACTGGAAATAACTATTGGCAGGCAAACTATGGTTAATCACACTGGGTTGGAACCTCTGAAGCCCCTAAGGCCCTGAAAGCGCCGGGCAGCTGTGA